AAGCTTTATGTTTTACATGCATTTAAAACTTTTGCTCGTAATGTATATGTTATTAAAGTTTCTCCCCCTGTTATTGAGACTCACTGAGTACAATGGATGGTACTGACGTTCTCTTTTGGGAGCCTACGTTGGTCTGCGGTACAACGTAAGAACCGGATTTGCAGGCGAGCAGGCTACGAGTTAGGACTTCTTTCCCTTCCAGTGATATTGGTGAGCTCCGCTTTTGTTCGTGTAGTATTCTTAGAGTCATTTTCATTTAGCTATTTCTTTGTTTATTTAGAGAACTGGCCAGGAAATCTCATGTCCTGAGCAGTGCGTCAGTTTATCAGTAGAGGCTTCATAGACATAGTCATTGGGTTGAGATTCAGATGTTATTTTATAATAACTTAGCAGTAATTCAGTAGTTACTATGAATAAATCTTTGGAGTTGATTTATTTAAATATTTGAATTAATCAAAAGTATTTGTTTAGAGTATTGCTTTGTTGCATATAAAGTTTGGAGTTATAATAGGGTTGATAAGCAGAGATGGTTCGCTCGGTCATGTTTAGTGATCGAGTGCCGGTCTCGGCTTGTTCAGAAAATGGGTCGTGACAAGTTTGTGGATCAAAAGCAATACTCCCTCTATCTCAAACTATATATCGTGATTTCTAAAAATAGTTATCTCAAATTATTTATCGTTTTAGAAGTTTAACACAAAATAAATTATATTTTTCCTATTTTATCCTTAATAGATGTCACAACCCATTTTCTGAACAAGCCGGGACCGGCACCCAATTACTAAACATGACCGAGCGAACCATCTGTGCTTATCAGATCTATTATAACTTCAAACTTTATATGCTAGAAGACAATACTGTAACCAAATACTTTTAATTAATTTAAATATCTAAAATAAATCAACTCCAAAACTTTGTTTGTAGTAACCAATGAAATAATGCTAAGTTTTTATAAAAAATATGTGAATCTTAACCCACCGACTGTGTCTATGAAGCCTCTACTAATAAACTGACGCTCTGCTCAGGACATGAGATTTCCTAGTCAGTTCTCTAAGTAAACAAAGAAATAGCTAAAGAATGACGACTCAAAGGAGTCTCACCAATAGTACTGGAAGAGAAGGAAGTCCTAACCCGTAGCCTGCTCGCCTACAAAATCGGTTCTTATGTTGTACCACAGACCAAACTTTAATAACATATAAATTACGAGCAAAGATTCTAAATGCATATAAAACAAAAAGCTTATAAGAACAATTCTAAAATAATTGCAAAATAGCATCGGAACTTTAATTTACCAGTAAAATTCTCCAACATATAGTAAACTTCTCCAACATATATGATGCCTTATCAATATGAAAAGAACAAGGCATGTGGAGTATAGTGAAACTTTAATTTACCAGAATAGTACTCGACTTTGCATCGGAACGTAAAGTTTCGAAACGTGAATGTCCTCTTTGCGCCCATAACGGCAAGTAGCTCTGTTGATTCTCAACGACAGGGGACGAAACTTTAATAACATATAAATTACGAGCAAAGATTCTAAATGTATATAAAACAAAAAGCTTATAAGAACAATTCTAAAATAATTGCAAAATAGCAGTTTATGAATATTCTAAAAGAAATTCTTTTCTTTTTCTTTCTTATAATAAAAAAATACTTCACTTTATACTTTGGGAGTTCCAACTATCTTGACCTATTTCTATCTTAGTCACCATGTGATCGGCACGGGTTCGATCCCAACCTGATCGAATAAGCCCAATCCACGAGGTGTCACTCACTTCATGGTTCTCAGCGCTCATATATCATACCTTAGCATGGCTAAGTAAATTCTCAGCAACGAGACCCTCGGCTCGTGTGCTCCCTATTTTGGCACAAGTAATTCAGGAAGTCAACGCCTTGGTCATGACCCTCGGCCTGGACGATGGCCCATTCTCACAATAAAGGATACTCCCAAAATCTTTTCTTTCTAAAACTTCTTCTTGTGACTTTTCAAGTCTAAATTTTTTTTCTTTGGAACATCATATACATACTCATGATGATATCCTTAATTGTAAAGCATAGCCTTAGAATGAAATAAGCATTCAAAAGTATTTCTAAAGATTTTTGCTTCTTCATAAATTTTCAACATGAAAATGGCATATAAGAATAACACAAAAATCTGAAAATTTATGCACATATATCATAATAAATCATCTAAACTTTTGCTAGAACAATTCTAAGTTAATAGGTACGCACTCGCTCCAATTAAGTAAATATAAACTCTTTTAAGCAATTCATCAAACACCTTGCATTCGTGTTTTTGTGGGTTAAACCACTTTAGTAAAGGGTTATATTAACTCACCTCAAAACTACTTAAGCCAATACATAGGCCCGAGTCTGATTTATACCCATCAAACAATCGATTCTATAACAACCAGTGCATTTTAATCAATTTTAAAGTTTCACACCTAAACATGAAATTTACTGTTGATACAGAGGAAGAAGGGAATATACTGTGGAATTTTTAAACATGGAATTTTGGTTAATTTTGTGCATTCCACAGCCCTTTANCCCCCCCCCTCCCCCTTTTTGTTTCCCTTTCTTTTTTTGTTTTTAGTTTTTACTTAACTAGTATTTAGTCATATAGGCAGTGACAAAGGGAGGATCTTCAGGAAGGAGGTTCAAAAAATATTTTTTTGTAGCTAGTAAGAATTAAACCTATGACCTTATGAAGGTTTTGAACCTCCTTGACCACTAAACTACACTTTTTGGTTGTGTTAAAGAGGTTCAAAACTTAATATATAATGGTAAAAAACAGATTTTGCCTTATATATACAATGCAATTTTTCGGCGAAGGGGGTTCGGTTGAACCCTTCCGCCCCCCTAAATCCGCCACTAATTATAGGACGTATCTAATAGCCTCTAAGTATGTATGCGAGTGTATAGATAGTACTCTTTCTTCTAGCGAATTGAATCACCGTAAAAAAATTTCTAGTTTTCCAATTCAATATATGAGAGATAAATTTGGTAATTAACATCGTCTGAATCAATGCTCAATGGAGCAAGAGATTAAAAACACTAAAAGGAAATTCAAAATTTCTTTAATAACCCCGTAACTACCTTCTTTTGGAAAATGAAATAGAGATTTAACTATAATTTCTTTACCATATATCTAACCATAAATCCTCCCTTTGTACCAATCACAGTACCATTCTTTTCACTTATATATATATATGTGCTACTTCTTTTGTTTAGTCCACTAAACTATACTCCATATAATGTTTGTTTGATCTCTAAGAAAAGAAGAAAGATATTAGACTCGCAAGAAATATTAATACAAAGAAAGCTCGTGTGAGAAAAATATTTTCCTTTTTCAAAATTTTCACCATGTCCATAATTTAGGGATTTAACAAAGCTCATACTTTCATGTAGAAACTCATCACATAATAGATCTGCCTAACGTTATTTATGAAAATAAGTTTTACAAAAATCACAAAAGATAAAAATTCATAAATAACTAAAAATAAGTAGACTTAAAAAGTAGAAACCACTTGTATTGTCACTTTCTTCTTAATTCATTATTTTGACTTTATTGTTTGTGATTAGTCCCGTAGAAATCTTCTAGCTCTACTTGCCTCTGGCGTTCAACATTGTAAATTTAAGTGCCACAACATCAACAACGTTAAAAGGAAATGTGCAATACATAAGAAATGAGTGAACATTTGTTTTTGAACTTAATGAGATGGCCCAAGAGACTTAGCATGTTTCTAAAATACACTAGTAGTGGTTGCCCGTGCTCCTCAAGGCCCAACAGTAAAATCGATGTGTGCTTCGAAAAATAAAAATTTGCTGGATTATTAGAATAAGCAAACAATTGTACTGAATAATTTTTTTTTAACATTCTGCAAAAGCCCTTGAAAGGAACTCAGAAATGCTATTGAAAAGCTATTGAGTTTTATATCTTAAATAGATAAACAAAAGGATTGCAAAGTAGTCCTCAGATGTTACATTGTCCAGCTGAGCACACTAAGATTTTCCCCTTCTTTCTCAATTCTATTAGTCAAACATCAAACAATTAAATTCTGGTTAGTAGGCAACCAAAAGGCTATACTACAACATGAAAAGGAGTTTCTACTACAAAAACAGAAAGTTCTAACTTGTTATGAACAACAAAAGTGGACTGAAGTGCAATATTCTTATCAGCTGCGAGCAATGGTACTCTATGTGTATTATGAATCTATAAAGGGCATGTATCAAATATTTATTGATCATAAATTATGCCTTAATTGTTGGTCCAAGTTCTCATTTTTATCAATCTCGAAAACTGATGCACCCTAAGCAATTATAACCTTTATAATAACTATGTGTGAACCCTGAATTTATCAGACCAACTATCTATAACTCAACCTAATGAAAGAGAATCCTTTACCAAGTTATTCGCCTTTTTCACTATACAAAACTATAACACTTATATGTGCAATTTTGGATCCAAAGTTTTTAGCGCATTTGAGAATTTTTCAATTTAATGTAATTTGGCTCCCAGAATGCATGGACGGTGTAAAACCCCTTAAGAATCTTGTTTTCCATTGTATAAAAATATATTAAAATAATGAGGTAACAAACTGCATAGGCAAAAGAAAGAAAAATTCAAGCATTAGAGGAAAAAAGAGAAGCTGTAACACATGAATAACACAAAAATCTGGTCAAAGCTAAAGGCACATATAACTTTATCAAATCTGAAAGTTGCAGTAACGTGAGAAGAGATACATTGATAGAAAGTAGTACTTAAAGAGTTACAGTTCACATAAACTTTATGCATACTTCTTTCTTCCACTTTACAATCTTTTTGTTTTCTCATGGAAGTAAGGCATTTCACATGTAACATCTTCCTTTGACTTTCTCAATTGTTATACTAACAATTATGGTCTGGCAAGTATGCACGGCAAAAGTTGTTTGATATATCTGTAAAGACTCCTTATCTCTTCATAACATATTTGAAGTGCCATAAAGAAAGGATCTTATCTTCGCTATACCAGACTAACACATTTCTTATAAAATCAAAATAGAATGTTAGCTAAACAAACTTTCTCCAACAATAAGAAGCATGTAACTGAGTATTGAAGTACATCAATAAAGAGAGGCGAACTGTGACAAATTCTTTATTTGCTTCACAATATGGAGTCAATAATCAAACCAGTCTCAAGTTCCCCAACATTATAGCAAAAAGTTTAATCTAGTTTATATGATTTAAACATCGAAATAACTTTTAAAACTTACCACTCAAATCTTTTGATAACCTGAAAAATTTACTATTTTTCAGCTTGACATCTCAGCCCGCATCTCTACCACTTCCACTTGAATGTATTCTATTGTTATTAAATTCGGATCTCAAACCCAAAGCCTTCTACCCCGATTTATACATCAGGGAAGTGTATTATTTGAATATTGATGGTGTTTGCCCTTTTTTATCCAACTCTTTTAATTGGTAGATGGGACAAAAATAATTATTTTCTCTCAGAGACAGTTGTGCATATCTACCACGACGTCACAAATTTCGATTAACAATTCAATGTTCCTCAATCTTTTAAGGTCTACGCAGCAAATCTATAGTATCCTCGTTTCCGGATACACATGTTGCAAGTATTACAAGTTGTTTACAATTTTACAAAATTAATATCTGTAAGTTGATATAAATCCTAAAAACAATATGGTATATTTAATTCTCCTTTTAACACAAATAAAGTTACGTAGATAGTAGACATATTCTAATGGAAATGCAAATGGCAACAAATGGCATATATGAAAATTATATGATACAACTAATAAGAACTTAACAATGTAGCATTTGAGTTGTTAAATGATAGATCAGAATGTTGTGGAGAATATGCTGAAAAAGAAATAAAATAAAATATAGTTAGTGATTTCACTTATATGATCAAATACTTTGAATTTGCACAATGCAGTAGTACTAAAAGTCATTTATATGAACCTGATGTTACACAAAGGTACGTAAGCCAGAATACCTAACGCTAATACAGAGGAAACAACTAAATTCATGGAGAAATCTTACTACATGTCAATGTACTATGATAAACTTATAGCTATAACTACGAAAAATAATCTCTAATACCAGGCGCTTTTAAGATTATCTTGCAGAGGTTTTAATATCAACTTCTCATTTTTCTGTGAGAAATTATATTTAAAAAGAAAGAAAAAAAAATCTAACATAAGGCAAGCAAATGAGAAAAAGTTGAAAATCAGTGGCTTTGGCATATTATCAAACACTCTCGGTGCATAAGTGTGCAAATCTGATACAATTAACGCCATGAGTGTGAAAATCAAGCGAAAATTCCAAAATAATAGAGGAAGTATCAGATACCCATTAAAATCTCATTAACAATAACAAGGTGCATTTAAATAGAAATAAGATCATATGAAAACTTACCAGTAAAGACAGGCATGCAATATATGTCTTGTTTAGCTATCCTTGTTCCATTGTTTAAGGAAGGACAAAAAATGAAAGCAAAAGGAAATTTACAGAGCAATAATGCACGGAAGAACCAAGAAAGAATTAGAAACATCAAAATGAAGTGGAATAGAAGACATGTGTCGCAGAGGAAAAAAGGCTAACATGTGTCACCGTATCAGTGACATGAGGAAAACTTAAAAGACAGTAATTAAAAAGCAAAGTACCAAAAAGCCCATGACAGACATTTATAATTACTAAGTTGCCCCTATTCGTACACCCCTGTTAGTACACCCCAACTCCCATTTCTAAATAATAGTAATATACCCCATATAAGACAAATATTTCAGGCCAATGAGGAATCTAATTATTTAACAAAAAAAAAATAGGTAAAAGGGAAATCAAAGAATGTTATGTCAAGTTTAGACAGAGTGAAATATGAGATGAACACCTTTTTTTGGTCAGATGGATATTATATTAATTAGTTAAACGGGGGTTTATAGTTGGGGAGTTGCTGGGATACCTTATGGCCCCCATTATTGCAATATTTTGCATAATTATACTTAGGTTACATCCCACAAAAGATCTAGGTAGTTCAGTTCCTAAGATGTCTGTCCAAAATACATCATTGGCAAACACCTGAGGAACTGCTAAATATAAGGATTTGTTCAAAAAACTTTCTTTTGGTGCTTCCTTCGCCAGTGCATCAGCTACTCTGTTTTGCTCTCGATATGTGTGCTTTACCACCACGCTGCCCATCCTTTGGATCGATGATCTGCATTCACAAATTAGGGGGTCAAAAATCAGATTTCCATTTATCAACATATTGATTGTTTCTGCTGAATCAGTGTCTATTTCTAGCGGAACTAGGTTGTTAAGTTCAGCTAGTTGTAGACCTCTAATAAGGGCTTGAATTTCTGCCCTTGTGTTTGTTGTTTGGGGTATGTTGTTCACGTAGCCCAAAATCCAATTTCCATTATGATTTCTGAAAATCCCCCCAGCTCCACCTATTCCTGGGTTGCTCTTTGCTGCTCCATCAGTGTTCAGTTTGTAGGAGCCTTTGGGTGGTGGAATCCATTTAAGCATGATTTGGTGGGTACATATTTTTGGGATGTTATTATTAAGCACATGGTACTCTGTTGCCTTAGCTATGGTGTTGTTTGCATTGATGAGGTCTTTTTTGTTATTGAAAACATTGTTATTCCTTGTCAGCCAAATGTGCCATAGGCTGAAGGAAATGAGATAGTCCCAGTTGAGGCAGTTGTTATACTTCACACCTTTAAGGGTTGGTCATACTGATTGCCAAAGGCTGCTATTAAGGACTGGATTGGAGTGTGTGAAAGCCGATGATTTTAACAGGATGACATTCTAGTAATGTGCAGCATTGGGACAGAGGTAGAAGATGTGGTCAATGTCTTCCTGTTCAAATCCACATAAGTGGCAATGAAGGGGACAATTTATTCCAATAGAGTGTAGAAAGCTCCTGGTGGGTAGTCTTCTGTGGGTTAGGAGCTAGGTAAAATGCTTGATTTTGTTGGGGGTTTGAAGTTTCCAAATCCACTTGAAATGTGCTTCTTCCCCAGGAGAGTAAGCTAGTGTGTTCCTGCTTATGAATGAGTAGGCAGAGTTGTTGGAGAACTGCTCATTGGCTGTCAGGTCCCATATTAGATTGTCCTCTTTAGTGGCTTCACTAGGAATGAACACTAACTTAAGGAGGTTTAGGATGTGGGGATGGTAATTGACAGAATTGAGGTGTCCCAAGTGCCCATATTATGAATTGTTTCAACCCTGATTTGGAGGTCATTCTGGGTTAAGGGCCTTCTATCATATGCCTGATGGCTAGCTGATTAGGAATCCAAGTATCATTTAGAAAATTGACCCTATTGCCTTTATTAACTACCCATCTACTGGCTTTACTACAGGTTTCCCATCCCTTTAGTAAACCCTTCCAAATTGGTGATTTATGGTTCCCTGGGTGTCTCAAAACATGTGTAGGTCTGGACATGTTGCAGTGTTTGTGAATAAGGATTCTATCCCAAAGACTGTTGGTATTCTTGTAAGCTCTCCATGCCAGGCTTGGTAGAGCAGCTTTGTTTTTAAAGCTAGCTTTTTGCAGCCCTAGCCCACCCTCAGGCTTGGTTCTAGTGACTATATCCCACTTAATCAAATGAAGCTTTTTCTTTTCAGGGGTGGTGCCTTAGAGGAAGTTTCTCTGAATTCTATCAATTTGATTGGTTATTTTGGTGGGAAGGGTGATGTATTGCATTACATGGCTTGGGATGCTGCTCAGGGTGGTTTTGGCCAGAACTGTTCTCCCAGCCATGTTGAGGTAGTTTGTTTTCCAGCCAGCCAGCTTGGTTTGCATATTGTCAATAATAAATTGAAAGTCTGAGGATGATTGTTTTTTGTGGAAGATGGGAAAACCAAGATATTTTCCAAAAGAGGTGGAGGGTTTCATGGACAGGAGGTTGGTGAGGTGTTGGGAGGTATCTTGGGAGGTGTTTGAGGAGAATAGGACTCTGGATTTGGTTAGGTTTATTTTTTGTCCTGACTGATTATTGAAGTTGTGTAATATAGAGAGGATGGTATTGCAGTTTTTGATATTACCTTTGGCAAAGAGAGTGAGGTCATCTGCAAAGAAGAGGTGAGAGATTTTTGGTCTAAACCTACTTATACTTATGGGGTGCCATTGATTTTGCATGACTACCTTGTCAATGGATCTAGAAAGCCTTTCCATACACAAGATGAATATATAGGGGGATATGGGGTCTCCCTGTCTGATGCCTCTTGAGGGGTTAAAAGGTTTAGTTTTCCCCCATTGACAAGGATAGAGATGGAGGAAGTACTTATGCAAGACATGATGAGCCTCGATAGGCCCTTGGGGAAGTTGAAGGCATCTAGAGTGTCCCTAATAAAAGATCATTTCAGCCTGTCAAAGGCCTTCTCTAGGTCTATTTTTAGGATCATATTGCCACTCTTGCCCTTCATTTTTCTGAAATGGTTGATGTATTCTTGGACAATGATGGCATTATCACAGGTCCTTCTGTTAGTTAAGAAGCTATCTTGGCTTGGTCCTATGATGTGAGGTAGGATAGGTTTTACCGTTGACTATGATTTTAGTGACTGTTTTGTAGATGGTATTGCAAAGGCCAATGGGTCTAAAGTTTTTCAACATTGAGGCTTGTGGACATTTAGGAATTAGGCACAAAAGGGTTTGGTTCATGGTGTTATCCATGAAGCTTGTGCTGAAGCACTTTTGACAAAATTCTGAGATAGAGTCCCCAACAATATCCCAGTATTTTTGATAGAAGAAAGGGTGGAGGCCATCAGGACCTGGGGATTTAAAGAGTTTGCTGGAGAAGACAACCTTTTTTGTCTCACTCAAATGAAGGGGCCTGTCCATGAAAGCCTTATGGCTTTGGTGTAGGGTAGGTTCCATGATGGAGTGGTGAGTGGTTGCCCAAGGGACTTCAGAGTGAGAGGTTGAGTAAAGCTCAGTAAAGAAGTCAACAATTGTTGACTAGATCTCTTTTTGGTCATTGATCCAGTTGCCATTTTCTTCTTTAAGGGATATGATTCTGTTTCTCCTCCTTCTATTAAGGGTAGAAGTGTGGAAAAATCTGATGTTGGCATCACCCTCATTTAGCCAATTGATCCTAGACTTTAGCTTCCAAAAGTCTTCCTCATTCCCGAGGATGAGATTCAGTTCATTATTCAGGTCTGTTTCGAGCTTTGAAGGAAACTACTGAATTGGTAGCTGGGGGACTTTTGGATGCCACAGATTCTGGCCAAGAGTCTATTTTTTTATGGAAAATGTTTCCAAAGACTTCTTGGTTCCATTTGGTTGCTAGATTTTTGAAATTTTCAGTGGATTGGAGGTGGGTGGATTGGCCAGAGAAGGCTCTATTGATAATGCTGGGGAAGGAAGGGTGGCTAGCCCATATTGTTTCAAATCTGAAGGGCTTGGAGGGTTTGTTACTTGGGGCCCTTCCAGTTGAATTTTTAAAGGACAGTGGTCTGAGTGGGTCCTAGGTGTTGAACAGTTGCCTTAGGGTACTGTTCAATCCAACCTTCATTGGCAAAACACCTATCAATTCGTTCTAGAATTAGGAAAGTTCTGTTGGAATATCTTTTATTAGTCCAAGTGTATTTGCTTCCTTTATACCCTAGGTCTAAAGGAAACACACAGACTAACTCAACAACATCATACGAACTTATCCGTGCGATCAAATCGCCAAAATAACCTCAATAACAATGAATCAAACCTCAAAATCAAGTACTTTTTCTCAACTTCATCAAGTATCAAATTTAGCAATTCGAGTCCGAAACACGTCAAACGACGTCCGATTTTAACCAAACTTTATAGAAACATCTTAAATCATATATAAGACCTGTACCGGACGCCGAAACCAAAATACGGGCCCGATACCAACACGTTCTAAACAAATTTCATTTCCAATTTCCTTAAACATTTTCAGAAAATAATTTTACTAAAAAATTCATTTCTCGGGCTTGGGACCTCAGATTGCGATTTCGGGCATATGCCCAAGTCCCATATTTTCCTACGAACCCTCCGGAATCGTCAAATCATGGGTCCTGGTCTGTTTACCCAAAATATTGACCGAAGTCAAACTTATTCATTTTAACATCAAAACTTAGCATTTTCACAAATTTTTGTATTTATGCTTTCGGACTGAGCACGCAAATAGAGGTAACTCTAAGTGAGGTTTTCAAGGCCTCAGAAGCACAGTATGGATAAGAAAAACAGTGATGACCCTTTGGGTCGTCACATTCTCCACCTCTAAAACAACTATTCGTCCTCGAACGGACAGAAGAAGGAAGTACCTGAGTCGGGGAATAGGTGAGGATAACGGCTCCGCATGTCGGACTCAGACTCCCAGGTCGATGCCTCAGGAGGCTGACCTCTCCACTGAACATGAACAAAAGGGAAACTCTTGGATCTCAACTGACGAACCTGCCGGTCTAGAATAGCTACCGGCTCTTCCTCATAGGATAAGTCCTTGTCCAACTGGATAGTGCTGAAATCTAACACGTGGGATGGATCGCCGTGATACCTACGAAGCATGGACACATGAAAAACTGGATGCACGGCTGATAAGCTCGGCAGCAATGCAAGTCTATAAGCCACCTCTCCCACTCGATCAAGAAT